ATTCTTATAATGTTGGTTTTAACTGTTTATGATCAGAATTTAATATATAATAAAAAAAATAAAAAATTTTAAAAATTCATATTTTGGCCATTTTTGGCGTAAACTCCCCCCTTAGTAAAGTAAAAAATTTTAGTGAAATATATACAATTCTAGACAAAAATACCAATATAACATGTTATGAAATTAATACTGAATTAATAATATAAATTAAATAGACATTTATAGACCAACTACCACAACAAAGTGAACATTTCAACCAACGCAAGTTGAAATTAACTCTACGCATCGCAAAATCAACAAAAATTAAATAGTAAGAGATATTAAAGAACAACTGGACAACAGTTGTTGAACGTTGGCACAGCCCAAACTGTTCTGGAGTTTTGTAGAAAAAACCCATGAACCCCCAAAACAACAAAAAAGGTTCACAGGCTAAGTGTTGACTCTAAAAATCTGTGGCTAGCAAAACGCTAGCCGATGCGGTGTTCAGGCTTTGGAAAAAAAGAGCGGGGTCATAGAACACCATAAAAATGGGAAACGATCCGCCTACAGACAACAAGGCATGGAGTTACCAAACGAAAAGTATGCCCTCACCCCCAAGCGAAAATGCTCTTGACGAAAGGTCACACTTGGCTCGGCCTCCGTACGAGCCTTGTCGCCATAGTTGATAAAAAATAGCCGCAAAGTTCAAAAATCATGAATGAGGTGCTTGGAGCTGTTGCACAGCCTCATCCTCCACCAAACTAGCAACCTTCTACCTCGTTCGCCGCAGAGAGGATGACTCCTCTCGCACCCCATCTCCCTACTACTTTGATTTGCGCACTCCGTCTCCCGACAGTCGGCCATCTTCTGAGGCTGTAAGAGAGTTTCTGCGCACCCTAGATGACTGCTTTGTCAGACGCCCTCCATCTCCCGACAGTCGGCCATCTTTTGCGGCTGTAAGAGAGTTTCTGCGCACCCCAGATGACTTCTTTGTCAGAGGTCCTCTGTCTCCCGACAGTCGGCCATCTTCTGCGGCTGTAAGAGAGTTTCTGCGCACACCAGATGACTTCTTTGTCAGAGGTCCTCTGTCTGCCGACAGTCGGCCATCTTCTGCGGCTGTAAGAGAGTTTCTGCGCGCCCCGTCTCCCTCATTTGACAGGCCGCCATCCCCTAACACCTTAGGGAACTTCCTAAGAGAGTACGGAAGAGTGCCATCAAGGGACGTAGAGGCTCTAGACCTGGCAGAATTTTCTGCTGCCGGAACAAGGCCTCCCAACTCCTACTCCCGCTCCACAACCGCTGGACTTGTCAATGCGTTGTAAAGAGTCTCTCTCTCTCTCTCCTCCTCCTCTCTACCGGCCTGGCGAGTTGGCGAACGCATGGCCCGGCTCCTAGGAGTCGCAATAGCCCAAACCTTTTCTCCCTTAAGGAGATTAGGCTGTATTTAACAAGCCAAGTTTAAGGGTCGTTGGATGGATTTGTACTATCAACCATAGATTGTTGATAGCTAGGCTGACATCCCGGGTCTCAACCTAAAAATCCTAGGTCTTGACCTGACGTGTGAAACAAAAAAAAACAAAAAAAACAAAAAAAAACAAACAAAACCCAAAAAAAACAATACAAAAACAAAAAAAAAACACAAAACTTTTCTCACGACCCCGACCTTTACTGCCAGAACGTAGACAACAAGGGAAATCAAGATTCGGTCTGTGGAAGAGAGGCGGTGTGTGTGGGGTCCGTTATTGGTTATCAAGCTTTCTTGATGAAATATTAATATTCTCTTATTTAAAATTGCAATACTTCAAAAACGAAAGAAGCAAATGACAAACGGATTGCGGCATTAAGTTTAGCATACAAAAGTAGTTCGAAATTATGGGTCACAACACCACCTTCATATTTAAATTAATTTATCACATGTAAAAATGGCGGATCGAAGATGGCGGCCGAAAAAATTACAACTGTCATAACCAAGTGAAAATAGGTCGACAATGAATGGTGGTGTATACTTATCGTTATCTAGCACAATTTTGAGATTATGGTCTTTGTTTGTAAGTGCACAATGTTAAAATGGGCTAAAAATAAAGTTATAAAAAGTCCTCATAACTTTAGAACGGATAAAGATTTTTAAAAACCAATTTCGGCATTGTAATCAGCGTAAAATTCTAGTTTAAAATAATGGGCCACAACCCTACCTTTACATTTGAAAAAAAACTTTGTATGCAATATGGCGGATCCAAGATGTCGGCCAAAAATGTCAATTCAGTCAAAATGAAGTACTTACTACTCTACAATGATCTGATGTGGTCTGGAGATGATATCTTAAGAAATGCAGAAAAAAGTAGTTGGGAACTCATTTAAAACTCACCATGTATAGTATATATCACCTGTATGATATATGATATCTGTACAGGGTGATTGATATAAGTGTGCCAGCCGTTTTATTCGAAAACCATAAGAGATACCAAAAAAAGTTAAATGGTAAGTGCCTTGGACTTTTTAAAAAAATTATAGTTAAGTCGAAAAAAAATATTTCAGCCGCCATTTTTCCAATATGGCGGCCAACTTTGATTTTTCTTATAGAACACCCTGTATTTTATGATGTATTCTGGTAGAAATTGTAATTTTAAGACGATTTTATTCTTGTGATTTTTTTTCATAAACCTGGTAAAACCTTCAGTAAACCGTTTCAAAGATAATAATGGTTTAAGTTGTGAAAATTTTAATGGTTTTCCAATAAAACAGCTGGCATGCTTGCTTAGGAATTTATCGAAACTCTTTCTCATGCAGAAATTTCAAAACTTTAACCATTATAATCTTTGAAACGGTTAGATTTATGAAAAAAATCACAAGAATAAAATCGTCTTAAAATTACATTTTCTACCAGAATACATCATAAAATACAGGGTATTTCATAAGAAAAATCTAAGCTGGCGGCCATATTGGAAAAATGGCGGCTAAAATATTTTTTTTGACTTTACTACAATTTTTTAAATAAAAAATCCAAGGCACTTACCATTTAACTTTTTTTGATATCTCTTATGGTTTTCGAATAAAACGGCTGGCACACTTATATCAATCACCCTGTATATATCGTCATATATAGTCCAAAAATAGTTATATCAACTTTTGAACATATTTTCTTATGACAAAATATCAACTTGTCATATTAAAAAAAAAAATTATCATAACTTGTAAATATTTTTAACAAGTTGGAAAATATTTTTATCACCTTTTTTATATCAAAAAATAAAAAGTTTATGCAATGATTTTTGAAAGGATAAAAATATAGTTTGTTGTATTATCTTTAAGGATTTGTTGTTTAAATGTGTATATTTATACACTTATTACCTTTTAGTCCATGTCGATAGAACTTTCTTTGAGTCAAGGTCAACTCCTGAGACCATGAAACTCCACAACATATCTCCTGAGGTTATCTAGAGAGTAAGATGTTGAAGGCTTAATTAACATAGACACGTTTTAATATTTGAATACATTTTTTTCTTTTTTTACATGCATTTTAAAAAGTAAAACAAAATAAGAGGTAGGTGTGCACTGATGTCAGGCCTACATTGGTTGGGTGTTTGATGCCCCAGTCACGTCACGTGCAGGTTCCCTACAACCAAAATAAAATATCATTAACTTGTGGCCTAAGGTGTTTAACCCAAATAAACATAAGTAATTCAATATCTCCTTAACTGGTCAACCATTAATTCATAACATCTCTTGGGGAACATCATATGAATTTTCTTTTTTAAGTGAGATAAAAAATGTCTGAATTTGCAACATTTCTTTAATCAATATAAATAAAAATGTCTGAAATTCAGTTTCAAACGTACCAAACAAATAATGTTATTTAATTAAACTGCACTTAACACTTTAACGTCGCTTAATACTAGCTTATTTGGAATAGACGCGAACAACGATACAATATCGTTCCAAAGCACTTTAAGGGGGGAAAGACGCTTGATATCAGCAGTAACAAAACTCAACACAATTTCTCTTACTTTTTAACTACAAAACTCAAATTTATATTACAAATTTAAAACAGAATGGCTATATACTGCCCTTCCCTACATGTACCAAGAATGACCTTCATCCACCATCGTTACGTAAATTCTAATTAAAATAACCTTAAAAAAAACTTCTTATATCTCTTACAAACCCTTTTTCTTTTATAAACAGGTCCGTATTCCATCTCAGGATCTAAACGCCTCAGGAATACCCGGCGCTGCTCCACCAGCTTGTCACCCCCCCCTTAGCTACTCGCTTGGCTTACAGTGAGATTAATTATTGTTTTACCTTTTATCCCTTTGGGGCGTGGGGTGGACTGAAGAGACGCTCAGTTAGAAAAACGAACTTTAATTAACACAGAACCAAGAAATATCAACTTAACGTGTACATCAATAAGACTCACACAAAAATTATAATCAAATAATACACCCCTTCGGACCCTCCTGTCTTAAATTAATATATTTAAGTTTGAGCAAAGGGCTTCTTCAATAAAAGTCGATCTGCATAGTCAGCCATTATAATTGAGAAGAAGACAGTTACATTGGATGACAGTGAATTGCACGTTACAGGTCACCAACATAACAAAACATAAAGTCCAGTTTGTACAACATAAAATAAGATATACAATTATTATCATTGAGTAAATTATAACAATATATATTTAAACAATATATATGACATCTCCTTTGTTCAGAAAAATAAAATAAAAATTCTTAAAAAAAATTTGAATTAGGCCTATACATTTTTTTTTTCTCAAAACACTTAAACATAAAACATCTTTTGTTCTTGTTCATATTTAAAAATGAAACTAAATTAAAACCTATATCTTTCTTGTTGTATTTAAAAACCTTCTTAAACTAAAACAAAATTTTCACAATAGGCTATTTAAGAAAAACTGAAAATAAGAAACTTCTTATTGGCTCAAAGTCATAGACTAATAGGCTATAGGCCTACATAACCTCACTACTAAGTGTAGACTATACATTACAAATCAATTCTATTAGGCTGTTTTACAAATCTACCTGATCTTGTTTGATACCTATCACTAACAAGAGGAGAAGGACTCTTCTCTTTCCTCGGAGGGGTTTTGCTTGTCGCATCAGGGAGTTGAAAAGAGACGCATCATCAGTGGTAGAATAAAATTGTATTTTGAAAGAGAGAAAACACCTGTAACAATTACAATTGCTGTAGCCTATTATAGCCTAATAAAATCTTAAGCTGTAAAAACATTTATTTGAAGTTATATTTATTTGAAATTTTAATATTGCAAATTTGGATTAATTATACAAAACAAAAGTATTAAACAAAACATTAAATGAATTTAGACACAATGTTTTATGTATATAAAATAGCAATTGAGGTTATGAACATGTGACTTTAGCCTAACATTATTAATAACAATATTCTTACCTTAAAAGGTGTTTGCTTGATACAGAAACATGTTAGAAGTACAGAAGAGATGAAATTTACAAAACTTGAAAAAGAAATTGAAATAGTTATGGCGATTAGAATTGATAATAAAATATGGCTAGGCCGAAAACATTAGACATCTCGTTGGCTGCATTACATCATTACAATCATTGGCGGAACATAGAAGAAGAACTAACGAACTTAAGATTTTCTATTGCTCAGTGCAATGCCATTAGAATTAGAACATAATCGGTGCTACATGATAACTCTTATACAATATAAAATATAATTTCTTCAAAAAAATAATAGATTTCTTCAATAATATAAAATAACAAAAATATATATAATTCTTCCAGTCTATATACAACACTCCTCCCTCCTTAAATAACACTAGGGTGAGTACCTTTTTGGGGGTTTGATCAGTCTTTTAGGTCTTTTCGGGGTATTGGACACAATTGGTTCTGTTTGGACATCAGATTGATTTTTAGGGGTCACGGAATTAGGATTTGGGCTAAGTCTGGTTGTGGGTGTTATAGGTTGTGGGGTTTTAGTGGGATCAATTGTTTCAACATTTTCATATGCTAAATGACTTCCTGGTTCCGTTTTGCCCTCAGTCAAGATCGGACAGTTCCTTATCTGATCTGCATGTCTTCGTATAGTTTTGTCTTCACACCTGATATCATACATGACATTCCCATTCCTCTTAAGGATGGTCCCTTGGTGCCATTTCTCCCCTGTTCTCGAAAAATTTTTGTAGATTACGTTGCTTCCGATTGCAAGGTCTGTAGATTTACCTGCGTCGTAACTCATCATTCTAGCTTGGTTTTTGATCACATTTTGTAGAACTGTGTTCGATTTTACCAGATCAATTGACGTGATTAATTCTCGATTCAGCATGAGCTGGGCGGGTGAAACCCCTGTTGTACCATGAGGCGTTCTTCGATAGTGCAACAAAAAATTTAAAAGTTTGGAGTTAGTTTTCCCTGGTTTATCTAGAGTTTTCCGTAGATTTTGCTTCAGGATGCCAACATAACGTTCTGCCTGGCCATTGGAACTTGGGTGAAATGGTGCTGTTGTGATATGTTTGATTTGGTATTTCTTAAGAAAATTTTGGAATTCATGCGAGGTGAAAGCTGTCCCATTGTCCGATACAATACAGGAACAAAAACCCCAACGAGAAAATAACTCTTCCAATATATTTATGGTGCTATCTGAGGTACATTTTGAAGTTGAAAATATTTCTGGCCATTTAGAGTATGCATCAACTGCGATAAAATAATTTTGGCCGTGAAACGGACCTGCGTAATCTATGTGAACTCGTTGCCACGGTCCACTTGGATACTCCCATGCATGCATTTTCTCTTTCTTTGGCATAGGACTTTGTTTTTGACATGCTTCACAATGCCTGACATATTCCTCTATATCTCGGTCAATCCCTTCCCAGTAAACATGTGACCTTGCTAGGGTTTTCATCTTAACCATTCCAAAATGACCTTCATGGAGTTCTTGAAGTATTTTTGTCTGAAGTTTCCTGGGGATTACTACTCGGATCCCTTTCATGATACAGCCATCTTGAATCGTCCACTCCCCCAATCTGTCTTGTTGAACCTGCCTACTTCCTTCTTGAATAGACCTTTTAAGCTGAGATAAATAAGTGTCTTCATCAGTTTCATTTGCAATTTGCTCTGCCGTAACTGGTAGAATATTTAATTGTTCAAGTTGGAAAATTTCTGCCGCGTCAGTAGTCTTTTTGTTAGATTTAATCAAAAATCTGGAGCAAAAATCAGCATTGAAGTGTTGGTCGTGCTTTTTGTACCTAATTTCATAGTCGAAACCTTGGAGGAAGATCGAATAATGAAGAAGTCGTGTAGTGCTAAGTGAGGGTGCTCCCTTTTCAGCGTTAAAGATTGAAGCCAAAGGTTTATGGTCACTGTAGAGTATAAAATGTCTGCCATAAATGTAGTTAAACAATTTCTTAACGACCCATACAATTGCAAGGGCTTCACGATCTATCTGTGAATATCTCATTTCGCTAGGTGTAAGACTCCGACTAACAAATATCACTGGTCTTTCCGACCCATCCGGATATTGATGGGACAGAACTCCTCCTATTCCATAGGGACTAGCATCAGTTGCTACAATCAAAGGTTTAGCAGGATCATAATAATCGAGAACTCTATCAGAGACTATTTCCTTTTTGATCGCGTTGAACGCAGTATCTGCATTTTGAGTCCATTGAAATGTCTTATTTTTCTTCATTAAGTCATAAAGAGGTCTCATCAAGTCAGCAGCTTTTGGAATAAAGCGGGAATAATACGAAACAAACCCTATGAAAGAGCGTAGTTCTGTGAGGTTTGTAGGAGGTTTTGCGTCCACAATAGCCTGAATTTTCTCTTCAGTCTTCTTGATCCCTTCACGATCTAACTTATACCCTAGGTACGTTATTTCATCAGTCAAAAATTCACATTTCTCACGTTTGAGACGAATATTATTTTCTCTACAAATAGTGAAAAACTTCTCTAAGTTCTGAATATGAGTTTGCTTATCAGGGGAACAAAGCTTGATGTCATCATAAAAAATCTGAATTCCTGAAATTCCATTGAAAATAGACTCCATGGTACGTTGCCATATCGCCGGTGCACTGCTTACACCATACATCAACCTATTTACATTGAATAAGCCTAATGTCGTATTGATAGTCATGAGTTTTGACGCTTCCTCGTCTACCGGTAGATGCATATACGCTTCCCTAATATCAAATTTAGAGAAGTATCTAGCACCACTAACTTTGCTCAGAATTTCTTCAATTGTCGGAATCGGGTGTTCATCAGGAATAATGTGTTTATTTACAGTCACCCTGTAGTCCGCTACAAGCCTAATGTTACCATCCGGTTTAATGACTGGAATCACCAGGGTCGCCCACTCTGAATGGGTAGTTTTAGATATTAAATTTAAATTCTCTAGTCTGTGAAGTTCATCTTCAACCCGCTTTTTTAGCGCAAATGGTACAGGTCGAGCCCTACAAAATACAGATTTTGTATTTTCTTTTAAATGAAGGGAAGCTACAACATCCTTAATACAGCCTACTTCCTTGAGAAACAAATCCTGATAATCATTAACAAGATTTTTGATTCTATTTACAAAGTTGTCATCACTAATGTGTTTAATACTGGCCCAATTCAACTTAAAGGTATAAAGCCAATCCCTGCCAAAGACTGTGTCAAAATTTCCTTTCACAAGAAATAGTTTAGATAATTTCTCTTGTTCATCATATTTAACCTTAACCATAACATAACCACTAACTTTTATTTTTGATTTGTCATAGGTTACCAACAGTAGGTTAGATGGTTTAATCTGGCCTCCAATACCTAGATCATGAAATTTGTGCTCCGACATTACCGAATAGGTACTACCGGTATCCAGTTCCATCGATACCAATTTATCATTTAGCTTAACATCCAACATGATTTTTTCATGCGGATCAACACTACTTTTAATATGAAATATGTCAGCACATTCATCAACATTTGATTCAGTATCGCTCATGACATTTGAATGATTTGCCTGTAATGTACATACTCGGTTAGGCCTAGGAAATTTCCCACACACTTTTGCTAAATGTCCTACTTTTGAACATTTATGGCACTTAGAATTGGAATATTTACATTTATTGGCAAGGTGAAAATTTGATCCACAGCGAAAACAAACAGTAGTAGGTGAAGACCTATTAGAACCTTGTTTGAATGTGTCCCTATCTTGCTTAGAACCTGCTTCTCCCCTAAAATTGGTCGAACTTGACCTATTGCTCTTGCTGCCATAACTCTGGGTCTTTTTATTTGGAAAATATTTAACTCTATCAGAGGGACCTAACTTAGAAACATTTCCCTTCCAATATTTGATATCCCTAGCATGCAAATTCTCAACCCCTTTGTCAGCTAACTCGTCAGCCAAAGCCTTTTTCACCGCCTCATCAAGGGTTAGGTTAGGTGTCCTTAGAAAATAATTTTGGGTTTGCTTATTCCTGATACCTGTAGTGATTTGATCTAATATTTCTTCTTGAAGTCGCTCCTCCGTCTCAAAACCACAATGAACGCTGAGTTTTTTCAAACTACTTAAAAAATCATTAAATGATTCATTTTCTCCCTGTTTCCGAGCACGGAATCTTTGCTTTTCCACACTAGGTAGAGGTTTGGGTGAAAGGTGGGAACATAAGGATTTTTTAATTTGGTCATAGCTTAGTTCTTTGGGAGTTTTAGGCCATGATATTGATTTTAACTTTTTGTAAATCTCCTGACCCACACTACTAATGAACAATAAAACTTGGTCAGCGGTACTCACCCCATTAAGTTCACAATAGCACTCAAACCTGTCCAGATACGAATCAAAGTCTTCTGCATTATTGTCATATTCTTGAAATAATTGAATCCTTCCGAAGTTGGAAGATGTGGGTGCTGTAGCCGTTTGTCCAAGTCCAGGTGTGGTTGGTTGCCCTTCTCCATCGTTCTTAGGCATCCTCGTCGCCAGTTTGTCGCATCAGGGAGTTGAAAAGAGACGCATCATCAGTGGTAGAATAAAATTGTATTTTGAAAGAGAGAAAACACCTGTAACAATTACAATTGCTGTAGCCTATTATAGCCTAATAAAATCTTAAGCTGTAAAAACATTTATTTGAAGTTATATTTATTTGAAATTTTAATATTGCAAATTTGGATTAATTATACAAAACAAAAGTATTAAACAAAACATTAAATGAATTTAGACACAATGTTTTATGTATATAAAATAGCAATTGAGGTTATGAACATGTGACTTTAGCCTAACATTATTAATAACAATATTCTTACCTTAAAAGGTGTTTGCTTGATACAGAAACATGTTAGAAGTACAGAAGAGATGAAATTTACAAAACTTGAAAAAGAAATTGAAATAGTTATGGCGATTAGAATTGATAATAAAATATGGCTAGGCCGAAAACATTAGACATCTCGTTGGCTGCATTACATCATTACAATCATTGGCGGAACATAGAAGAAGAACTAACGAACTTAAGATTTTCTATTGCTCAGTGCAATGCCATTAGAATTAGAACATAATCGGTGCTACATGATAACTCTTATACAATATAAAATATAATTTCTTCAAAAAAATAATAGATTTCTTCAATAATATAAAATAACAAAAATATATATAATTCTTCCAGTCTATATACAACATGCTCGGAGAGGGATGTGGTGTTTTCGCCTTAGGATGGTCAACATCGGTAGGAAAATGGAGGTTGTCGTCATCGACATAATCAGTTTCAATATGACATATTGGCATTATCTTATTACCTAATGGCTTAATATGACATCTATTTCTAACAAGTGTACCACAACCTGTACCTGACATTACAACATAAGACCTTGGTCTCTTCTTATCTTTAGAAACAACCTTGGATTTAATCAATTTACCTTCATGTTTTACAAGAATAGGTTGATTATCATACAATTCAGGGAGATTCCGAGTTTTCCTATCAAAATACATCTTTTGAGTTGCTTGTCTCTGTAGAAGTTTACTCCGTACATTAGAATTCATCTTAGGCCTAAAATTACTACTTTGCCCTGGAACAATACCTCTAATCTTTCTGTTAAGCAACAGTTCTGCAGGTGATGGAATATCACTCGACAATGGGGTATTGCGAAACTCTAACAAAGCAAGAAATGGATCAGTTTTATCATATTTACATTTCTTTAACAAAGATTTGACTGATTGGACACAACGTTCCACCATCCCATTAGACTGTGGGAAATGAGGGGAAGACGTATGATGTTCAAATTCCCAAGTCTTACTAAAATGAACAAAACTTTCACTCGTGAATTGTGTAGCATTATCTGTAAATACTACCTTGGGTATACCATGTCTACCAAAGATCTCCTTCAAATGACTTATTACAGTCAAACTACTAGTGTTACCAAGTTTTACAAGCTCTGGGTACTTAGAAAAATAATCTACAACTAACAGAAAACATTGGTCTCCTAGTTGGAAAAGATCAGCACCTATTTTTCCCCAAGGGAATGTTGGGACTTCATGTGGCTTCAAGGGTTCATTCATGTTATTACTAGAGTACATGATACAAGTTTCACATGTTGATACCATATCTTGTATTTGAACATTTATATTTGGCCAATAAATTACATTCTTGGCTTTCAGTTGAGTTTTTGTAATACCTGAGTGTGAATAATGCAAGCGCAACAACATTTCATGCCTTAATTTCTTAGGTATAACTATTGCTGTACCCTTAAGTAACATACCTCTAGTATACGCTAACTCACCGCGTACATTCCAATAGGGTTTAACCTCACATGGTAAATAATTTTTATGGTTAGGCCAACCTTCAAGTACATAGGATTTCACACTTTGCAACTCTTGATCACTCTCAGTTTCTTTAACAATGTTACCCAACTGTACATCTGAAATTACATTACTTACTACTAAGTTAACATGAGCTTCAAGCTCTTCTGTATCAATAATTACATCACCATTATCATTTTTGTCACACGCACGTGACAGAGTGTCAGCTATATACAATTCCTTTCCTTTTTTATAAACTAGTTCAAAATCATATTTTTGTAACTTGATAATCATTCTTTGAAGCCGTGGTGAACATGATTCAATGTTCTTTTTCATGATAGAAACTAGCGGCAAATGATCAGATTCGACAAAAAACCGTGAACCATACAGAAACTGGTGAAATTTCATACAACCATAAAGTACAGCTAACAGCTCTTTTTCTATTTGGGCGTAAGCCTGTTGAGTGGGACTTAACGCTTTAGATGAATAGGTTACTGGCAAATTATTTTGTAATAGTACAGCTCCAAGCCCATCTTTAGCCGCATCACATGATAAGACTACGGGCAATTTTTTCATCAAAAAATTGTAAAACTGGTTTTTTAGACAAAATGTCTTTGATTTGTTTGAACGATTCTTCCTGTTCAAACGACCACACAAAGTCAACATCTTTTTTTTTTTTTTTTTGAACAAGACCCTGAGGGGGGCAGTTAGATTGGAAATATTCTGTACAAATTTACTTACATATGTAATGACACCTAGAAATCTTTCTAAGGATTTCCTATCATTAGGATGTTCCATTTCTAATATGGCTTTCACCCTATCACAATCAATCGATATACCATTTCCATTAATACAATGGCCTAAAAACTTTATTTCACTCACCCCTATCTTACATTTGTTTTTGTTCAGCCTAATGTTTTCAGACCTTAACTTATCCAGTACTGCTTTCAACACTGCTGTCATGTTCTGATTTATCTTTACCATACACAATTATGTCGTCTACATAAACTGCAACGCCATCAACGTTTTCAAGAATCTGACTTATTTTAAGACTAAAGACTTCACTGGACGAACACAAACCATATGGCATTCTCAAAAAGCGGTATCGCCCAAACGGTGTATTGAAAGTACACAAATCACTACTTTCATTAGAAAGTTTTATGTGCCAAAAAGCGCACTTAGTATCTAATGTACTGAACATTTTTGAACCAGCTAGGCTAGCAGTTATGTCATCAAGTGTTGGAAGTTGGAAATGCTGACGCATTATTGCCTTATTGAGATCTTTCGGATCCATACACAAACGAAGGTCACCATATTTTTTATGAACCAACACTAAAGAATTAACCCAATCAGTAGGTCTTTCTACTTTTTCAATGATTTCCAATTTTACAAGTTTTTATAATTTACTTTTCAAAAGAGGTTTGATTTTAAATGGTACCTTCCTCGGTGGATGGATCTTTGGAACACAATTTTCTTTCAATGTTATTACATATTCACCCTTTAAACAACCAATACCTTGAATAATGTCGGGATATTGATCAAGTATACTCAATTGACTGTTGCAATCATCTACCATAGGCCTACTTGTATTAGCAGTGCATTCACTATTAGGCTTAGTTACCTGATCAACTTTACAAACAAGGTTCAGAATTTTACATGATTCTAACCCTAACATACATAAAGAGTTGCCATCAACAACATAAAATGGTATGAGGTGTCTCTTACTTTTGTAAAAACAATATAGGTTACAAATACCTAGAACATCAATTGTATTACCTGTGTAAGTTGACAAGTTATTGGATGAAGGCGTTAAATTATGCAAATCATGGCCTATTCGCTTTAGAACACTGGCATTTAAACAATTAACCTGAGCTCCAGTGTCTAGTTTAAAGGAAATACGGTTATGGTTAATTTCTAGATCTACAGTCCATTCTTTTTCCTCAGAAGGGCTGGGCCTTTGTGAAAGTTTGTTAACAAAGTTTGCTTCAATTCCATCAATAAAAAAATCTTCGCCGGTTTCAACCGAATTCACTGCTTTATTATTTCTACACTGAGAAGCAAAATGATTAGATCGCTTACAATGGTTGCAGCGCTTTCCAAAAGCCGGACATTTAAAGCGCGGATGTTCATACCCACATTTACTACAAGGCTTCTGAAACTTATTTCAATTCCAAGTACCAGGAGTCTGCTTGTCACTATATTTGGACCAATTAGGCTTAGATCCACTAGGCCTACTAACACTTTTACCGGAACCGTCCTTAAGTTGCCTGAATTTTGTAACTTTACACACTTCATTATTTGGACAAATATCGGCTTACTGAGTTTTGGTACGTTCCGCAGCTCTACACACTTCTAATGCTTTATTGAGGTCTAGGTCCTTAACTCGTAGCAAACGATCTTTAATGGCTCTGTCCCTGATCCCTAAAATAATCCGGTCCCTTATCAAATTGTCTGTGAGTGTACCAAAATTACAAGAACTACTCAAGTCTCTAAGAGTCTCATCTGGTTTCTGCTCCCTTAAGAAAAAGGTGTGACGCTCATATGTTTCATTTACTTCAGGTAAAAAATAAGAATCGAATTTCTTGAGCACAGTTTCAAAATTGTCCTTATCATCAGCAGGATCATACGTGAAATTATTGAATATCTTCAAAGCCCTATCACCAATGGAATTCAGCAAAAGTGCTATTTTATATTCACTGTTCTCATCAGTGCATCTACTAGCAGCTAATTATATTTGGAATTTTTGTTTGAAAAAACGCCAATTTTCTCCCATGTTTCCATTCCATGATAGTTCTGTCGGATGCCTAATTACATTACTGGAACTGGAGTTACCTGTTTGATGTACCGGTTTTCGTGTAGGCTCAGGCTCACCTTCATTACTTTTAACATTTTCTTCACCTTTGCCCATTATCCAAGAGTTTTAATAACTTTAAACACTTTACTACACATTTCGTTAGCAAATATAGAAGCTGGCGACTGCGCCATGTCTTAAATTAATATATTTAAGTTTGAGCAAAGGGCTTCTTCAATAAAAGTCTATCTGCATAGTCAGCCATTATAATTGAGAAGAAGACAGTTACATTGGATGACAGTGAATTGCACGTTACAGGTCACCAACATAACAAAACATTAAGTCCAGTTTGTACAACATGAAATAAGATATACAATT